ATGTCAAAGATGGAGTGCCTCAGGCAACCATGGATAAAAAACTAACCTCTATATGAACTGAAACTTCAGAAGCTGAGGTGATGAATTAAACATTTGAGTTAAAAGCTTACATTACTTGAATTACCATGTCAAAGATGGATTGTCTCAGGCAACGATGAATTAAACATTTGAGTTAAAAGCTTATATTACTTGAATTACCAAAATTACCAAATTACCAAAAGCTGAGGTGATGAATTAAATATTTGAGCTAAAAGTTTATACACACACACACACACACACATATATATATATATATACTTGTACTTTAATGCAAGACTTTCTGTCTACACGTCCCAAAAAGATATGCTTTATCTCAAACCTACGTTTCAATCAAATTTTATTCACTTGCTTATCCTGAAACTTTTGTCGATTTTGTTACTTTCGGAACCAGTCACACAAATCCAACCAATATGACTCCGTAAACTCGACATCGAAAAAACACAAGCAAGCCTCTTTCTTTTAAGAGGAGAAGAGCCTGGCACTGTTACAACTGAATGATATGTAGCTTTGGCATTCATTTGAGTAAGAACAGCGACAGAGTCAGCTACGGCCACGGTTGGAATCGGGAATGATTACTCAATGTTGACATTCAACTTCGCAGAGTGCGCTTGCACATGATCCATTGTCGTGCGTTTGATGCTCACTCCGGGAAAGCACTTATACTGCGCATGTTAAGCGTGCGCCAAGAAAAAAAAAACATTGTTAAGAACTGAGGATTAACTTATTTAAAAGTCAAGTACTGATAATACCTAGAAGTTTCAGCATAAGTTCCTAATGATTACGTTACATTACTTTACATCTGTATGTAGTTGTACAACTGCTTTAAAACAGATTGACAAGGATTCGAGAGTCAAATCGTTAAGGGGAAAGCTAATGAAACAAGCAAACATCAACCAATAAACTTGATAAGGATTTAAACAAGTTTAAGAACCATGTTTGTCAACGATTCTGATACATAATCATGGTTGTATTAGAAGATCTAGCGACTAAAAGACTTCATAAAAAGTACGATGAAGTACACAACTTTTTTTACGTGAACTATCCCACAGCTGAAAAAGTCTCAAGTCTCTTCATTGGAAACACAGAGATGATTTGACACTCAAAGAAATCAAGTAGCTGAAACAAAGGTTGGAAAACAGCTTTCTCTAAATCAAACTTTAGCCTTTTATTGAATGAAATCAATAATCATTTTACTATTGTGTGTTATCATGGAAAAACATGCATTCAGAAGATAACTAACTGCCACAATTTCGAAATACCCCTTCTCAACTCAAGTTTCTTTTGTTATTCTTCATCTTTACGTTATCTTTTATACACTTTTCTGTTAAAAGAGTGGATATTTTCCTGAGGGGTAAACGGGTTGCTCCCCGATTCTTTACGTTATTTTGTGCTCCACGTGAGCCAGTAAAGCAAATTTTGTAATTCAAAGCAATCCACTGAAATGAGCCTTGTATTTAAGATAAGTTGGAGGGATATGCCAGGTACTTCGTTACATTGTGAAACCTGTAGTACAGTTTACGAAAGCTGGTACAGTACAGACATACACGTGACAAAGAAAGGACACACCCCTAGTCTCCATCAGTAGCATGATGACAACTCTAACTTCCCATGGGAAAGTTTGGCAAACAACTTAAGATAGGTGACTATTAAGTTTCTCTATTGAAACAATCCAATAAGATCACAGAAACAGTCTAAAATTGGCATTAACTATAAAAGAATGTCACAATCTTGAGGTGCCATTTTAAGTCAGTTAAGAGTGGACTTTGCAGATAGAGAGTCTAGATATATGCCAGAATTTTCTATATTTATAAAACAGTTATAGACAAGTGGATTTGATAGTCTAGGCTATCAACTCTTTTCCCTTCAGCTCATTCCAGGTAACTTGAATCTTCAAATTAATGATTTAATAAATTCTTTTAACACAAATACATCATGACCTAATGAACTGTTCATAAAATACATCACATACAAAAAAAAGCCAAATACACAATTCAAAAACTCTTTAAAGCAAATAGTTAATATAGTAGCATGAACATAAAATGGTAGCATATTGTAAAACAGAAATCAACAGAATACAGTAATATTATGCTTAAATTTAAAGGGTTTTTGTCAAGTTAAGTGCAAATAAAAAACACAATAAAATACAGTATAACTAAAGCAAAGTCTCTAATGAATATTAAGTAATATTTAAAGCATCCAACATAATCAACTACGATACAAATCAGAAATAACCAAAATCCAATATTTCTCTAGTTACATAAAATATACATATCAGGAGGAATGTAATAACATTTAATTAAAACATCCCAGCAAGTTATTATAATAAGAACTAAGTATAGCCCTACAGATAACACATGCAGTTTACAGCTTCATACACTAAACAAGAGTAACTAGTGCTCATTATTACAAAATTACAAGTCAAGAAGCTTAAACACCGATATGTTAAATGCTTTAGAAAATCAAACATTAACACCTAAGTCATATCATATCTTCCACCTCCATATAGACACAAGTAACGATGCAAAATTACATGCCATGTTTAAACATTACTAACTGTATAGAGAAAATTAAATTTAAGAATGCTTAAAATTGCAATAAACAAAACAAAAAAAATTCAAAATTACCCGGGAAAAGGACAAGTCTCAATTGAACGGAAGATACAGACATAAAACAATTATAATATTCACATAAGATTTAGGATGTATTGAAGTCTGAGATGAGATGTTTTAGGACATCACTAACCAATGTCCCTCCTAGAAAGTACACGGTAGGTCTTCTACTGCCTGATGAAGATCTTGTTAGATCATGGTAAGTTCTTCCCATGTAAGTTCCCTTCCATTTGAATGCCTCCATTTCCCTGTACTGCCTGGCCTTGGTAGTGATGTCCCCATATTTCCAAATTTGATTAGAATAATTCTCTTTAGAATCTGCTGCTCCTTCAGCCAGTCATTTTTTTTTAGATAAAAGGGCTTCATTGGTTGGGGAATTAATGTATTTGTGCCACCAGCCTGGACCTGGTTCTTAAGTTAACCACCTTGTAGTAAAGTCACAGTTTCAACCACTGGTGTTATCTATTCTAGATGGTACTAGGGCTGGATTAAGGTTTAGTGGGGCCCTAGGCCCAGGTAATACTTGGGAATAATAATAAAGATAACAATTCACTCTTGCCTATATTCTGCTAGTTTTAAGAACCATATATATTTTTTTTTACCTGGGTTGCCAGCAGGGCACCTGTATAGCCAGGACCAGAGGCCTGGGCCTAGGTGGCCTATGTACTAATTCAGTACTGGATTGAGACACTTCACAATTGTAAACCTGGATCTTACCTCTACTGGTTGAAGAGGAATTTGGTGGTAGTTTCACCTTTGGTTCAAGTAGAATGTGTGCCAGGCACAAGCTGGTTCTGTTCCAGTTTCATCTCCACTTTCTTCCATGAACATTTTAGAAACTCGATGGCTGGAGACTCCATCCACGAGGTGAACAAAAAGATGTTTAAGGAAAGGATATCTTTAAAAAGACCAGCTAAAGTGTGCAGGTCGAAGATACCCTCTGTGTTAACAGTAGCAGAAATTGTTTAAGATAGAGCTTTTATAGCTATTCTCTCAGAAGGAAAGAAATTATCAACCTTTGGCCTTTGGCAGCAGTGAATTGGTCTGAAGTCCAATTTTATTACATAACACTCGCTGTGGTTACCGACAAAGACAATCGCCACTAGTCGTAGTAACACGATGGAGTAGTAATGGTCTGCTGCCTGCTGCGAACAAAGACTAGCTAGGGTGGTACTGTTAAAGAACAAGTTCTAATGGAAACAACACGAGTTACCACGACTACAGTACGGGTAAACTTTGGCCGACTGCTCTAACAGTAGGCAATCAATGGTATGACAATCCCCAACAAGGTAGATTGCCCTAAGCTAGTTTATTCCCGCAAGTTAATTTGAGACGAAATCCAGATCATCCAGTCAGTGAATCTTTAATCACGAGTTACAATAACATGTTGTTCATAATTTTATAAAATGATTGTTGGATAAAAAGTGTTACAACGTATTTTTCATTATTCAATAAAATAATCTTTTAATAACAGTTAACAATAATTAACAAATGAATCTTAAGACCAGCAGTTCAATCGTGAGAAATCATTCAAAAATATGATATCTTTTCAACGACATTCTGTACGAAATATTCTTTAACCAAAATACTTGTTACATCATTAAAAAACATTAAATTTCCAACACCATTTCTGGTAACATGTTGCATGTTTATCATTAAACAAAGGATTACGTCAACACCGATTGTGATAACTAAGTCAAGGAAGAATTATTTCAAAACCGATAATAAATACGTTGCATTTAACAGTCAAGAGAAAATGATTTTAAAACGAGCTAGCCAACCCACGCCAGTCACTTGAAAACTAATAGAGAATTGACAAGTCATTGATGTGGGTTGTGATAATATATAACTTCTCGTATCACAGAAACGTTATTTCAAGTTGTAAGTCTAGATAAAATCTTTCCCAAAATGTTCGACAACGAAATAAGTATTTCCCATTTTCTCACATTTCTGAAGCTTACAGGTTACACAGATTTGTTATGTGGGATTTCTGGATTATCTATTAAATATATACACACACACGCAACAAAACTTTGTACTTATTACAATAACGTAAGTAATATTATAAATTAATTCCTACAAATTTATCCAAATTAGGTAAGCAATTGGAATACAACTAAACGAATACCTCGTATGTGTGTGTAGGAGTGCAAGTTGTGACAGTAATTGAATACATGCACGTTGTTTTCAGATGTTAATGTAGACGTGGGTAAAATAATGAGCCCTAACAGTTTTCATATAAACACTTGGCTAGCTTTTGGAGATCTTAGTATTAGCCGTCTAGAGTTTTCACAAGATGTTTAAACTACTTGCTCGGACTATTATGTACTTTCGAAAAACAAACAAACGTACCTCTGACCGCTAGCAGCTGGCAGAACAGAATGCTGAAGCTCTGGTGAAGGCGATACACGTGCTATTCCATTGACATTTCCATTATGTACACCATATAATCTAGTTCCAGCCGCTGAAGGGATTTTAACTGGTGAAGGTGAAGCATCCGCTTGCTGACTGTGGTGCTGATTCACGTGGTAATAGGTATTTACGTAAAGAGAGTCATGGAGTGATGCAGGTAGTTTAGGAGGTGGTCGATAGGTGCCGCCACTACTATTTTCGCTGGCAAGTTCAAGGGACTGGACCATGGCCACAGCCTCGTTCTTCAGTTGAGCACAGTGTGTGAAACAAACGTCACAGCGGTCTTCCAACAAAGAGTTCCTTCCGTACTCGGGTACATGAAGTTGTTCATAGATCACAACTGTTAGGCTACTTTCCTAAGTGAAATAAAGAAAATAGTACAATTCATCAACACACTGAACTCATTTATTTCTATCCATTGTTTTCTCTAACACTTCTATACTTCACACCAATAGTGAAATGTTTCGTAGTTATCCCGCTAGGGGTGGTAAGGATCAATCTTATGATCGTACGAGTGTTAAAACAAGTATTGTTCCTTTAACAAATAGAATTATAAACACACGCACAAATTAACTTCAATTAAGTAAACTGAACGATATATTTCAATATTAAAACTTGAGAACACTTATAAAAAGTTATTTGATACCACATATGTAGAAACACGAGTTCTACATGTAATGACATGTTAATATAATATTCTTAACTTCAATAACTAGATGTGGCAACATGGATATTAATGTGGCAACAGTTAACCGAGTTAACTGTGTTCAATTTTTTCTTTTACATCCAGAATAAGCAGTAATATCAGCTTTGTGTGTGTGCGCATGCGTGCGATCGCGTGTTTAAGAGCAACGCCACATTGGACTACCTGTTGTGTCCAGCGTCAGGAATCGAAATACTAACTTTAGCGTTGTAAGTCCGAAAACTGACTGTTGTCTTACCGTTGTCCCACCTGGGGACCTAGTTGGTTTTGAAAAACGTTGATTAGTTGTTGTTTCAGAATATCTCGCTTTGAAATTTTATGCGTTTTTATTTGTTTGTTTCTCAGATTCTATTACATGGTTAACATACTATGATAAGCAGGTAAGAACCCTCTTTATAGCAGTTTTAATACTTTCACAATTTTTGATCGGGAGGTATTGTTGAATCTTTTAGTTCAAAGCTACTTGAGGCCTTCTCTAACTGTGAACCGATAGACTAGAAAGAGGCCAGCTAGGCCATCTACCGCCACTTCTTGGGATATTCTAATTGAATAGTGGCTTTTAAAGTCACACTTATGACGCATCTACAGGCCCAAAGTGAGGAAACAGGGCGCGAACCAGGGATCCACAGTGCAGCATGCTAACCAATGGGCCGCATTCGACCATTTATTGGACAAATGTATTTGACGTATGCCGAGTTCTTAATCTTTTTGTTTTTTCACTATTGGGATTAATAAAGATATGCGGTCATCGACGAAGCGTTATTATACACACTTTGTTTTATTTTTTTAAATAAAATGTTGTGTTAGATAACGTGTGTATATATGTATAGAAATGCCAAGATGCAGAAGACGTATTATATCAGCGCAAAGTCAACAAACCAAACAAGTTCTTAAAGGAATAATGAAAATGAGTAGATTAAGATGTACGTGTTAATTCGATCCAACGAGCAATCTGTAAATATTCTGTTCACACAAGTAAGATGTACGTGTTAATTCGATCCAACGAGCAATCTGTAAATATTCTGTTCACACAAGTAAGATGTACGTGTTAATTCGATCCAACGAGCAATCTGTAAATATTCTGTTCACACAAGTAAGATGTACGTGTTAATTCGATCCAACGAACAATTTGTAAATATTCTGTCTACACAAGTAAGATGTACGTGTTAATTCGATCCAAAGAACAATTTGTAAATATTCTGTCTACACAAGTAAGATGTACGTGTTAATTCGATCCAAAGAACAATTTGTAAATATTCTGTTCACATACATTTGTGCGGTTATTTTTAATCCCTCGCTATGTATCTGCTTAAAATGAAGTCAAGTTTAAACTATAATAATAATAATGATAATAAAGAATGAATCTCATTCAACCTTTCACTTTTGTCGGACTATCAATAATGGGATAAAGCAGTTCCCCACTGCTTATTTGGTTCCTAGAAAGTGAAAATAATTCAATGAACTTGTTATGAGTGAAAGTAAAGAATAATAAGTCAACCACTTTAAATCTCACCGACGAGATTCCAGGGTTCATCAGTTTGTTTGTTTGTTTGTTTTGAATTTCGCGCAAAGCTACACGAGGGCTATCTGCGCTAGCCGTCCCTAATTTAGCAGTGTAAGACTAGAGGGAAGGCA